GGAAAATGTCTCTGCCGAAGCGGCTGCCAATCATTTTGACATTAAAACACCCAAGGATGCTGTTGAACTTAAAAAAGCCGAAAAGAAAGAAGAAAAATCCCAACAGCAGCAGCAACAACAACAGCAACAAAACAAAAAGGATAAATCCAACAAGAAAACAAATGCTTCTAATGAAAATCTACCAACGGTAACAGAGACACCCATTGTTAAGGAAGTCAAACAGGCCGAGGAGAAAATCCGTCAAAACTCCCCCAAAACTTCCCAACAAAAGCAAAAACAACAAAACAAGAAACAAAAAGATTCCAAAGATATTGTGGCCGGACTTGAGAAGTTATCTGAATCCGACACAATTGGAGTATCTTTGCTAATGAATCTCTTCCGCCGAGCAGAACTAAATCGTTCGGAGATACAAATTTTAATCGATTATCTTTTGAATCGCCAACAAGATATGCCCTCTTCGCATTCCGAATGGTCTGATGACATTTGTCAAAAGCTCAAACGACAATTGGAGGAGAAAGAAAAGGCCTTGGCCGAAGAGCTGGAAGCCTCAATTGGTATCCAGGCCAAATTGCGAGAGCTACGCACCGAAATCAACACCGAACGGGCCAGCATGAGCAGCACCATTAAGTCGTACACTGAGAAATTGGCCACAAAAGATCAGGACATTTCCCTTTTGGAACAGAAAATCAAAACTCTTAATGACACCTTGACCCTGGAACGTCAACAGTTCCAGGCCAAGCTAATGCACGAAAAACAAGCTGGCTCTCAAGACATTATGGCTCAGCTGCAGATGTTGCAAAAGGAATTGGCTTTGAAGGATAAATGCATTGCCGAACTGACCTGTATGGTTAATGCCTCGCACCAAGCCGTCGAAGAATCGCAACAGAAAAACGAAATCATCCAAACACAGGCCCAGCAAATACGTGTCTTGGAACAACAACGCGACGAACTGGAACAAGTCTCCAATAATAGAATTTTCGATTTGGAAAAAGCTAACCAATTGGAGACCGAGCTAAGCGAACTTAAATTAGAACTGCGCAACAATCAAAATGCCCTTGAATCTGCTAGATCCGATTTGAAGCAAAGCAATGCTGATGTGGAAGCCCTCAGAAATGAATTGGCTTTGGTGCGCACCAAGGTAATCGCCGACAAACAAAAGGAGATTGACCAATTGCAAGCCCAGAACAATGAGTTGACTCAACAGCTTGTGAATATATCTAGCAAAACTCAAGAGCAGTCCAAGGAGCAAAATGATTTACAGAGCAATCTCAACAATCTGCAGGCTCAAATTGTCGAAAAGCAACGGCTATTGGACGATTCAGAGGCATCCAAAATGCAACTACAAAAACAACTAAACTCCCTCGAGTCGGAGCTTAAACACAAGTCAGTTGAACTGGAGGAATTGCAAAAGTTGGTAGAGGGTCTTAAGTCTGATGTCAGCAGCAAAACTAAAGTACTGCAACAAACCGAACAGCAGGTACAAAATCACCAAGAACTGCAGAAACTGGTGGAAACACTCAAAAGCGAGGTTCAAAAGAAGGACAAACTGTTGCAGGACAATAGCAAGCAGCAAGATGTGCAAAAAATCGTTGAAGCCCTCAAAGAGGACTTGAGCAAAAAGAATGACCAACTGAAGGAAGTCGAAAAGGAATCGGAAAAACTAAGCAAACGCGAAAAGGAGTTGCTGCAACAGCTGCAGGAACAAAAAGAGAAAAACAATGTAAGTAGTAGTAGTAGAGTGCAAGAATTGCAACTACAATATTTCATTTGTCTTCCAAATTGAAAAGCACAAAATTAGCTTTCCTTGAAAGCAATCATTTGTTTCAAACCGAAATCTTCCAGTTTTCATTGCTAACCTAATTTTTGACTTAATGATGCTACTATTTTCTTTGCCGTTCTACTAATAACCAAATAATTTGTGTTTTTGCTTTAGGATTTGCGCACTAAAAACTGGAAATTGGTTGAGGCTTTGCAAAATTCTGAAGCAAAAGTTAGTAAACAAAGCCAAAATTCAATTTTAGTAGGTGTTGTAAGTGCATGACAAATTAAATACTACCTACCCTACCTATTACACTCTATGCCTATCTTCCTTCTTTTCCTATATGCCTTTTTCCATCCAAATGTAATTAAAAGAATTTCTTAAAGAAAAAAAATTGATTTGATCTAAGAAATAGAGATTCTTTTAATTTCGTTATGGATGTGCTATTTGTTGTTGGTATAGACCTAGATAATAGTATTAGTTTTGTTCATGTCACTGTTTTGGGCCCCTATGTGGATGTATAACAAATTTATTTTTCCTTTTCATTCCATGTGTAGCAACAGGAAAAACTGTTATCTTCTGCAGCCAAGAGTGGCAAGACATCAGCATCAGGCCATACGGATGTTGCTAAAGATCAAAAACAATTGCGTGATCTTCTGCAGCGATTGTGTCCCGAGGCAGTTAAAGCTTGTGCCGGCACAGCTCTGTCCGTTACTTTTGATCAGTGGGTTGAGCAGGTCTTGTCGACTCACATTAAACAACAACAACAGCAGCAGCAAGTCAGCAGTAGTCACAAATCTACACAATCATCAAACAACTCACACAACAGTCCTCCTTCCCTCAATCAAAACTCCACACATGCTGCCAACGGCAGTCGGAGTAGCAGTTCCAGCGTTAGTAGCAGTCCCGGATCCGGAGACAACAACAATGACACTGAAAAGTCTGAGTTACTTAAAGAGAATTCAATCCTGCGCGTTCGTATCGACGAGTTAACCAAACTCGCTAGAAAAACTGTAAGTTTCGGCTTTAATAATTTGCCAAAAAGCAAACATTTTTATATGCATACATTTCACAGGAATACACATTATCCGACCTGATGCAGAAAGCCGAGGAGCAGGAAGAACATTGGCGTAGTGTTGTACGTTCTAAAGACGAACAAATTAATACGTTACAATACAAATCTAATGGTCAGCAGGTAAGTTAATTTTTTTGTATTTCCAGTTAATAGTTGACTAATAAATGTTTTTTTTTTTCTTGCAGGACATTTAATGTCTGTCATATTGGAAAAATCTATATATTAAGCACTAAAGTAGTATGCAATAAAAAAAGATACATTAATTCAATTATGATTATATTACAACAGCATAAACAACAGAAAATAATCTAAAAAAATCTAATTGTGTACAATGTGTTGTTTTTTCTTATTGTTATAAGTTATAGCTAGCATGAAAGACAGATGTCTTCTACAGAATGGTGACAAATTTTAAATACTCAAGATTTATAGCCTTTTATTGTAGAGCCTTAATTTGGTATTATGCCAAGGAGATATTCAGAATGTTTTTAGCCACAGAAGAACTTTAAATAGACTTCCACACAGGAAAGGCATTGGAAAAATATTCTTTAAACAAGTTAGATAGTATCAGTCGGTTTTGCCGACAGATGTATAACCCCAGCCTTGAGTTATGATTATTCTAGCTGTTGACCTGACCCTGTATGGGGGAGTTTCCAAAGCAGATGGCCAATTTTGTCCAATTCGATATATTACATATTCATATCAGATTTCTGACTAAGAGAAATATTTAGATATAGCAAGTTGTATAGGAACGCCGACTTGTTTATGACAGATATAAGTATTGGAAATTGGGTTCCCTGGCAACCCTATGCCTGAGTAAACGTGGTTTTAGTTGCAGCTGATCGCGATTTGTTTTTTACGCTTAAATATCGACTGTTTGCCAATATTTCGTATTGTCATCTTGTTCAAAGACTAATTCTGTGTCGGGAAATCTAAAAAATATCAACGTTTTCATCATAAAGCAATGTATATTGGCCTTTTTTCGTTTTGTTGAGAACGAGACATTGTTGTTGCTGCTGATTTTTCTTCTTGCTGTTCTTTCCTGCAAATTTACCTGTTGTTGTTACTGGAATATAAAATGCCGCCAACGAAAACACTTACTATTTGCGGATCATGCAATGAATCTGTAACGAAAACCCAAGGGTCCATCAAATGCAACATATGCTGTAATTGGTTTCACTCGTTGTGCCTCAAACTATCTGACAAGGAACTTGCTGCACTTAAGGCAATTAAGATCAGTGCTTTTATTTGCCAGTCTTGTGACTCTAACCTGGATCGCAATAGTTCAAGTGACGATTTTGTAAACCTTAACAAGAAACTTGATGCATTTATTGCTAGTCATCAAGGTGAATTGATTGCTATCAAGTCGGCTATAGACAACATGAATACACAGATGACATCATGCCTGTCTGAAATCAAGGCAGACATTTCCAAATGCAATGATCGTGTTGTAAGGGTTGAGAACTCAGTGTCTTCTTTGCGTGAAGAAAATAAAGCGTTGTGGGCCGAAAACAACTCACTACATCACAGATTAAATCGTGCTGATTTCCTCGTGAGTGGTCTTCCAGATGGTCTGGACGATTTAGTGTCTGTGATAATTTCTCTTGCTGCTACCTTTAATGTGGAATTGGGACGCCGTGACGTTGCTTTGGCTTGCTATATTAACAGAAAGAGACATGTTCTTGTTAAGCTAAATTGTGCCGAATTTCGTGACCAGATTATGAGGAAGTATTTTCAGAGTCGATCGCTGCAACTTCGGGATGTTTTACCTGGTGTTGGTGGGGACATTTCCAGAAGATTATATCTAAATGACCACTTTTCCCCCGCTGCCAGTAGACTGAATAGTATATGTACCAATCTCCGTAAGCAAAATATAATAACAAAGTTTAGAATCCTGAATGGTGAAAATAAAGCTCGGTTAACAATGCCTGATGGCGGTATTGTTGTTCGAGATATAAATGAATGTTCGTTGCTGATTCCTGGTCAGAGTACATCATCCAACTGAAGTTTTATAGTATTTGCTTTCATATACATTTTCATTTATCTTATGTTTGATTATTAGTACTTAACCTCTGTATTATTGCTGCATTTTGATAAAATTTAATTAGTCTTTTGTTCTATCAGATCGATTTTTAAATTTTCATATCACATTTTGTTTTTGTAAGCGATTAGCTGCGCTATGAAATATATAAAGAAAGATTTTTATTTTTATAAATGATAAATTTAGGTTTTTATTGTTACTTATTACTTTTCTTAACACTATTGTTCTTCATTTGGTTCCCCGCCTCTACATTTTTCACCTATTTTGATGTCTTCTAATGAAAATCTTGGTCCATTGGTAAGTGGCAATTCTTATTTAAAAAATGTATTGTCTCCATTTAAAAGTAACTTAAATGTTGCTCACATAAACTGCAGAAGCATTCGGCCTGTTACCAAGCTGGATGAATTGAAGAATCTTTTGGGAAATAATAATACTTTTGATATTCTAGCAGTTACTGAAACATGGCTTGTTCCTGATATATTAAATTCAGCAGTTTCTATTCCGGGGTACTATTTCTGTCGTGGTGATCGTGAAATACCAGGTAGGGGTGGTGGTGTCGGAATTTACTTATCCAAGGGTCTCCCTTTTAGACATGTTTTTAAATCTTCAGTTCGCCATTGTGAATCATTGTTTTTAGAATTACAATTCCAGAGCACTAAAGTTCTTTTTGGTGTAATTTATTTGCCTACTGGTGATATTGATTTATTTGAAAGTCTACACTGTAACATTTTTGAGGAATATAATAATATTGTACTTTTTGGTGACTTCAACTTCAATTTGTTTAACCCAACTAAGGCAATAATTTTTCGTAGACTTTGTACTCGATTAAATTTGAGTATTATTCATAACTCCAAGCCTACACACTTCGACCTAGGTAGCCGGTCTACGTCCTTGATAGATTTTATGCTAACCAGTGATTTTTCTATTGTAGCTTATTCTGATCAGATTCAATGTCCTGCTATATCAGACCACGCGTTAATTTTTGCATCACTTTCGATAAGTTTTAGCAGCTTGCCTGATTTTGTTGAATACAGGAACTTTAACAATATTGATTGGAATGGCATATGGAACTTTCTTGCTTCATACGATCCAAATTTGGTTTTTAGTAGTGTTGGTGTGGATGCCAAATGTGCCAGCATAACTTCTCTTTTGGATTCCCTATACTCGTTTGTTCCGGTGGTTAGGAAAAAGATCAAACACTCAGTTGATCCCTGGATGAAGTCTATTGATGTAAGATTTGCTGTGTCTTTAAGGGATTTGGCCTTCTCGTCTTTTCAGAATGAACGAACACAAGAACACTGGCGAATCTACTGCAAATATCGAAATCGTGCGAAAGCTATAATACGCAGATGTAGAAGATATCACTATTCCAGGCTTTTTAATGGAATAAATTCTCGTGGTCTATGGAAAGCGTTAAGAGGATCTGGATGTGTGGGTAATGATCATGAAAATATTGATATCGATGTTAATAGCTTAAATGATTTCTTCTCTAGTTCTTCTTCGAATACTCCTGTTATGCCCCTAAATTTGGAAAGTTTTACGGACTCAGACTCATCTTTCACTTTTCGTTGTGTGGATGAATCTGAATTTATAGAAGCTTTATGCAGCGTAAAGTCTAAATCAATAGGTGTTGATGGGATTCCTATTGCATTTATAAAGAAGGTTTTTCCTTACATTTCCAACCTGATTTTGGACTTAGTTAATTGCATATTAACTACATCTACATTCCCCCATCATTGGAAAGCTGCTAGAGTGGTACCGATTCCTAAATGTCGTTCGGTCAGAGAACCATGTGATCTAAGGCCTATATCAATTTTACCAGCTCTATCAAAGGTTGTGGAGTCCATTATTAAGAAACAAATGCTTGAGTATTGTTCTCAAAGAATTACTGAATCTCAGTATGCTTTCCGTAAAAGATACAATACCACACATTTGCTTCTTAAATTGACTGATTCTATTCGTGGACACATTAACAATGACAAGTTATGTGTTCTAGTTGCATTAGATTTGTCTAAAGCATTCAATTCTCTTGATCATTGCCTTCTTATATGGAAGCTTAAATATAATTTTGGTTTTTCCAAATCAGCATGTATGCTTATTCTTTCTTACTTACAAGATAGAACCCAATTTGTTATGTTAAATGGTGTCATGTCAAATACTTGCTCTTTATTTTCCGGTGTACCCCAAGGATCTGTCCTTGGCCCACTGCTTTTCATTTTATATGTCAATGATCTCCCGCTACATGTAAACTCATCAGCTTGTGAAACGTATTTGTTTGCTGATGATATTTTTATCCTCTTCAATGGTTGTCGTGAATTTCCAATGTTACTTGAGAATGACATTAATGTTTATCTGAGATGCTTTGTTGATTGGGCAGCGAGAAATTCATTAAATATTAACTCATCTAAAACCAAGGCTTTGGATTTTAGATTTAGTAACAGATCTGTACACCTACTAAATATATTTATTGGTCAAGACAAAGTTGATTTTGTTCACCAGCATAAGTGCCTTGGAGTTACAATTGATTGTGAACTTTCCTTCAAACATCATATTGATACTTTAATGGGTAGAGTATATAGCGTTTTACGTCAGATTTATTCGTCAAACATGTACTTAACACAAAATGTAAAACATACTTTAGCAAGTTCTCTATTGATGACACAAGTCTTGTACGGTATTGAGGTATTTTCTGGAACTGTTGCTTCAAATATAAATAGGCTAAAGCGTATTGTTAACATAATTACACGTTTTGTATATAATCTACGACGTGGCAGTCATGTATCTAGTCATGTTATACGTTTTCTGGGGTGTTCCTTTGACATGTTTATTAAATACCGCTGCTTATTACTTTTTTATAACGTTATTAAAAATAATGTCCCTTACTCATTTAGAACGTCCTTTACCTTTACTCATTCATCCAGAAACCCACAGATTTTTATACCTAGAATCTTTAAAAATGTTTTTGCTAGATCGTTTTTGGTCAGAGTTGCGAGATGTTGGAATACACTTCCACTCGAATTACGCATATTCTCCCAGAGTAACAATGCTTTTCGCCTCAAGATTTTGCAATTATTTCTAAACACATCTTAGTTGTGTCTAAATCTAGTTTATGGTAAATGTATTATATAATACACAACTTAAGAATTAAGATGCCGCTTACTGAATATTTTATGTAGTAAAATAGTTTAATTTGTTTTAATGGCTGGGGAGCCAACTTTTCTTTTCTTTTTTGAATATTAGAGTAAAAGTAGAAATAGTTTTAAATAAATTAAGAATCTTTATATGGTAAATAAATTAAGCTCAGGTTATATTATTTAATGCAAGTTGATACACATTATTGGCCTTGGAGGCTTTGTATCACTAATGAATTGAAATAAATAAAAATAAATAAAATAAAAATTGTGACCCTTTGTGGTTGAGGTACAAGAACAGGTTGGTAGATGTCTATCATCTTCACAACAGACCGACCGATATATCCCATCTACACTACACATCTTTTGTTAGTAAAAATAATGGGATGTGTCAAATATGAAGAGAACCGTATGCTTATTTCGGATTTAATACCAGAAGGAATGGTCCGATCTCTAGCATCTTTATACAGATCTTGTTTTAATAGAAATGTTGAGACGTGCTAAGTCTGGATTGAATCGGATGTTAAATTCGCGTTTTATGAGCTTCATGGATATTCAAAATTTTGACCATTTGTGGGGGGAGGTACCAGAAGAGGTATACCGATGTATTTCATCTTTACACCAAACATTGAGTTATTGTTCATTTCGCAAATGACAGAATTGATGAAAATATTAGGATTTGCAAAGTTCGAGCAAAATTGGATTATCCCTTCTCTTCCTGTGCAGTAAATTATTTTCTTTAAAAAATGTTGACCTTTTGTGGGGGAGGTACCAGAAGGAGTGGACCCATATTGCTCATCTCCGAACTCGGTCTAAGTTTGATAATAATATTACGATGCACCAAGTATGGATCAAATCGAATACTCCCTTCGGGAGTTATCGTGCGCATCAGCCAGCTAGACAGACAGACGGACTGACACCGCTAGTTCGGCTCCAAATAACCTGAAACGGATTTGGTCCAAAGAGACCTAGGCCTAAAACAATTATTTCGATGAGGCACGTTGAGGGTAGCCATATGGCTGAGGGTATAAAAAGATAGTAGGTCTTGAAAAAATATTCTTTAAAAAATCAATGTTTCTGGTAGACCGTGAAAAAAATATTCTTTAAAATGTCCACGGTTATGGTAGACTTTAAAAAATATATTTTTTTAAAATTCACTTATTGTAGGACTGAAAAAAATATATATTTTTTTAAATTCACTTATTGTAGGACTGGAAAAAAATATTCTGAAAAATTATACATTTTTGGGCATTTCTTCTTAAAACTACTACAAGATCTGGTCTTCTATACCTCATGACCTTTTTTCTATAAACAGAAAACATTTAACAAGTACCCTAAACATAGAAAACATTTTATAGGTACATAACAGACCTTTATGGGTTTTACGGATGTGAAAATCATAAATTTTTCATGTTTTCTAATAATAGTATTTTACAATTTATTTTTATTTGTTGATGGTGATATCATAATTTCTTAATCCTAATTACACATAATTATAAATTCAACGTTATATATTACTTAGGTGGCAGCGATAGGGTTTGTATTGGAATTATCATATTAAAGGGATATTTAAGTAAATCAGCACAGGATGGGCGTTGTTTGGGATTATGTTGCAGACAATTTTTAGCCATCTGTTAAAGAAAATCGTTGTTACAAAAAACGCAATTTGACTTTTATCAAACATACTTACATGAACCAGCATGGCAGGATAATAGGGAGGCAATGGGCCAAATTCAATATTTTGTGTTGGACTACATATGGCACTTATTTTGGCACACAGATTTTTGATATGGCCAAATGGTGTTTTCTTATAAAGTAACAAATAAAGAATACAGCCCAGTGACCAAACATCCGATTTTGTGGAAATCTTAAAAAAAATGTTTTTTATAATTACTATTCACTTTTTGAAATCATGCAATGACAGACCTTTATTTTTGGTTGATTACTACGCATTGGGCTGCTGCCAGTGGAGGTATCAGTTAGTGCCTCGGGGCTAATGTAATTAAACGTGCCCGCTTGTGAGAATTTAATAATACTTGTCGAATCAATAGCAATATTACTGGCAATACCAAAATCTATGAGTTTTAATCTGCCATTAACCATTAGAAAATTGGCAGGTTTTAGGTCCGAATGTATGACACCATTTTGGTGTATGTAGTTAACCGCTTGCAGCATTTGATAAACAAAGTTTGTCAGAACGTAGAGCGGCAAATTTGTGGTATAGCTTTGTAGGATTTTATGTAAATCCGAATCACCCTTCTCCATTACCAAAAACAGCTTGGATTCCTTTCGTAATAATTGACTGAAATATATCAACTTTAAAATGGGCAAACGAAGATAGTTAACAGTACTCACTACTCATATAGAGAGACAACACAGACATTGCCTTGGAGCTTGGCCAACAACTTGGTTTCATTCAAATAGCCTTCCACAACAGCAGGATCACCTTGCAAATCAACCACCTACAAAAAGTAAATACGCAATAATCACCTCTGGATTGCATTTAAAAACCCCAAGACTTACCTTCAATGCACATTCTTTGTCATTGTCTACCCTTTTGGCAAGATACACCGAGCTAGATCCACCACAGCCCAGTTTTTGCATAATAACATAGTCGGAATTATTTATGTGAACTATAGTTTCCTTATCCTTAGTTGTGATCGCAGAGCCCTTTGCATTTTCAGTCTTCTGTGCCTGTTCCCGACTCACTTCCATAAATTCGCCCTCAAGGGATTTTTTGGAACGACCCGTAGGGTTTTCTGCAGCACATTTTGGGGTTTTTTTCCGCTGTTGAGGGTGTTCCACCCTCATTAATGGTATCACATAAAGAAAATGAAATACTATCGTTAGGTAGACAGGACATTGGTGCCCGTGATATGGCCATTGGAGTCTGAAATAAAACCTTTTGGGAACGAAACTCATTTACAATGGCCGATTTGGTTTTTTGTGACTGTGTGGAACAAAGATCGCGTGGCCGTCTTTGTACCGAAAAGGAACGTATTTGTGGAGTGGCAAATTGAGCTTCAATTGATGATGCATTTTTAATAGTTGATGCCGGCACATCATTGGCAACTTCATGAGAGTTACTAGTCTCTTGGCTTGGTTTGTCCACTTTCGTATCTTTTGAAGGACTCTTCAAATCCATATTATTGAAATGTGCCAACAAGGACATGTCTGACGTGTCATTAGTTTTCCCCCTACTAACTGAACTCTCCTTAGAGCCAGCTTCGCCAGAACAACTTTTTCCTGGTGTAAGCAGAAAGGAATCGTTAAGAATAGCACAGTTTAAATTGTCATCTTTAACAGAATCGTCTTCAGAATCCGATTCCAGTGCAGGCAACTCAGCGCGTCTTTTGGGCCTAAAATATTTGTGTAATATTATTTATCTCCCCATCTGTTCTTGAAGATAGGAAACTTACACCATGCGAAGATTGTTAAATGAATATGTGGAACTACTGTTGGCATTGTTCTCATTCTCCTTATTTGCGGTTGCCGTGCTATTCGAATAGAAAAATAGCATTTAAAATAAATAAATTACCATTTAATTAATGTAATTGCACTTTACCTTTGCTGTGAATTTTGAGTTCCATCTTTTGACGGCTTCGTCTTAAGTGGCGTATTAAATTCATCTTCGGAATCAAGTTCTAACTTTGGAAGATCTTTAACACGACGTGGATAGTGGAATGACATTAAATTATGATTATTGTTTTCCAATAAAATAATAACTGAGAAAAAAAAGAAATTTTAATTGTATTTCATTAGATTCAAAAAACAAACAAAGCCCGCTGTCAAAGTTATAGTTGCCAACATTATTTATTTAAGGTTGCCAACTTATTATGTTTTGTTGCCAGCCATGTAATTTATGTTGTGGTGTCCACATTATCACGTACGTAAGTTGTCCAATTTCAGGTGGAGTTTGAATTTTAGATTTTATTTAATTTTTCTTCTGTGAATTTTATTTTTAAATCGAAGTGAAAATATACAGGGTAAGATAAAAAACTGCAACAAAGTCAAATGCCATAATTTATACATTTTTTTAAATTTTATTTAATACCATCACATTTTTGAATAAGTTTAGATTTGTTCAAATTGGTCACCTTTGGCACGAATTAGGGCCTTCAAACGGTCGATAAAACCGTCACACGCTGCCCGAATGTTACTCTGCGGTATTTTGGCCCATTCCCGGCGATCGACACTTTGATATTTTTTCAGTGTCAACCTTGCTTTCAAAAATACTCCAGGCACAATAGTCCAACGAATTGGTATCCGGAGATTTTGGTGGCCATTATGCGCTGGAAATGAAGCGTGGAACCTCATTTTGTAACCATTCCTGGGTGGCGCGTGCTGAGTGCGACACAAAAGATTTACTCACATTTAAATGCTGGAATGCCTGTGGTTTTCCAGCAAAATATAAAGAAATCCCACTATCACGCTTGAATTCCATCACGAAAAACTTTTTTTCTAGAAACTTCTCACCAAAATGCTTTTGTACGCTTGTAAACAATATAATGAACTGTTACTGGAATAATTTTAACAGCTGTCGGACGAGTGGCTTAGAAATGACAGCAGTCTGAGTTTGGTTGCAGTTTTTTCCATCTCACCCTGTACATCATCAATTTATGCTAAATTTTGCTATTCCACAAATACGTTTTTTGTCGGTACAAAGGCAGCAACGCGATCTATCTTCCACCCAGTCTAAACCCCGATTTCATAGTAGAGTTTCCTAAATTATTCATTTGACAAGATCCATTTCAGAGACGGAAAGCTGTTTTCTATGCAGTATTGAACAATATAATTTACACAAAATGCAGAGACGGATATGCTTATGACCGACTCATGACCGATTTGTACAAAAAGTGACAGATTTTAATGTAATCGGAATTCGATGGTGTTAAAATAATCTCATAGTTTCCCACTTATTCACTGTGTCGGTGTTGTGTGTAAATTAAAGATATATAGGTTTTGCAATAAAAGATGAGCCTATTGGTGCTTTGATCGTTTTCCACAATAGATCTTAACATTTTTAAGATGAATTGTATAATTGCATACAGAAAAGGTAAAGCGTAATTCCTATAAGTGGTGCATAGAATGGTATTGTATTATTTGATTTTAATCGAACTGTCGGAAACCTAAAAATGAATGAGAGATAAGATATATTTAACTAGAAATACTGTGCAATTATTATCAATTAAAATTTACAAATTCAAACATACCTAATCGTCGATTTGTTGGATCTTCCCTGTTAGTGAAAGTGAGAAATTCCCAAGTGAACACTTGGAATAAAAATAATTAATGCTTAAATGTTCTTATGGAAATACAATATTCCAAACGATCTTGATAATACTTAAATATACTACATTTAATGACAGCCTTCATCATCCAAAAGAGATATACATTAATAGTTTTTTTAGAAAGAAAACGAACAATATCGATATTTATTGATATATTCAATACTTTTTACAATTTCCATTTAATATAGTTAAATCAATTTGTATGTATATAATTATTGATAGGTATTTTTTAAAAAAATAATACATGTTTAACAGTTAAAAAGAGAAACTTAAAAAAGACAACCAGCAAAGAGAAAAATAAATACATTCATTCATTATTATGAAAATGAAGAAAGAAATATTCAATCTTTGAGAACATGTATTATCTTGGTTGATGCTGAGTGTTCGAAAATACATGTTCCACAAAAGATTAAGTTAATTCAATATCGTACTTATAATAAGTCCTTACACTTTATATGTTTATTTTTATTTCGCGTAGATAAAACATCCTGCAACACGCACACACACTCTCTCCCTGTCTCTGGGATAGGTTGTTTTGTAATTCACTATGGCGAGAAAAATATTCTGTCTATAGGTATATATTGATTTATTTGGTCTTTTCCAATTGTAATATATGTATTTGATGGAATGGCTGGTATGAAGATAACTATAAATGAAAATAAATCATTACATGATTGTGTGACAAAAAAAATTTCATTTTAAACTTACATCTTCTGTTTTGGGTGGAACTCCAGAGAGTACACTTTACTCCTTGTCACCCATCTTCACCTTGGAGGTCATGTAAATACCAACAATCAAACCAAAGAGACCAATGGCGGAACCGAAAATCTCAACAATCAGGATTTTCACAAAGAGAGCTGAATTGGCGGCATCGGCCAAGGCGGCACCGGAACCAACAACACCTACAGCAATACCACAGAACAAGTTAACCAAGCCAACGGCCAGACCAGCTCCAAACATAACGTAACCAGCAGTCCAATTGTTATTCATTACGGTTTGATTGTTGATGGCAGTTTCCATCTTGAAAGCTTCCAACAAACCGGACAAAACAATGGCAGTGATGAGGCCATAAATGGCTACGGCTTCGCAGAAGATAACGGAAATTAAATTCTTTGTTTTGATACGAGGAGCCTTTACACCACCACCCACTATGCTGGTACCAGTTGTGTGTATACCCAAAGCAGCACCGACCACAGATAAGGCTACAGCCAATCCAATGCCCAAACAAGCCCACATATAGGGCGAGGATACGGACAAGAACCAGCCAACGCTGACACGTTCACCCTTGCCAGTAAAGACATGGTAGAAGATCAACACCGTACAGACGGCAACGAACAGCCAAAGAAATGTTTTTCCAACAATCGTACGTAACTGGGCCATTGTATCAGCTTAGTTTTTCTTTTTTGTCAAATTCGTTACCACTTTTCTTTAAATTTAACTGCAAATATTTCCAAATTATTATTCGAAGAAAAAGGAGGAGGAAACAAAAAAATTAAACGGAGAAAAACTCACAAAAATTACAGAATATTTTCAATGACAGGTGACTACGAGAAAAACTTTCAGCCTTAATCACATGATCAAGTGCTGCTCTCTAGCGTATTAAAAAAATACCAAAATATTTCGTCTCTATTTGACAAATTTGACAACACAGTTGCAGTCCCGACGTATTTGCGTTCCATGGTTAATGTACGAATTTAAATGTAGATGGCAAACGGGGTGCAACGCATGTTTTTATACGTCAAGTATTTTAAAAAGAAAATTAACAAATGAAAATTAGTTAAAATTTGACCCCATATGGTTACACACACATCTAATTTCTAACAAATACTATAAAAGATAAGACAATGATGCGGAAAAAATTATGTTTCCATTAAAAATCATCCTACATTCTTTACGTTATTGTTTCTTTAATGCGTCGTACGACACTCCCTATTTAGTCCAGCTCATTTGGTATTAATTACCGAAGCACATGACACAACAAAGGGGAATTTTTTGAACATGTACGACACGTCTTCAACGCATGCCTCGGGACTGAGATTAGATTTTTTCGTTACATATGTTATAAAAGCGTTTTATGATGATAAAACCCAGCGCACATATAAATAAAATACTTTTGAATATAGTAAATATATTTTGTAGTTTTCTACAACTTATAACAATGTTTAATGTATTTTTTGTTATTATTTTTTTCTATAATATGGTAAACCTATTACGTTTCAAGTCATACGCTGTAGTGAATTATAACTGAGACGTTATTCACTCCAAATTCATTGTTCGACCCTTAATTATGAAATACTGGGTAAGATGATGATGAACGGCAACCAACTTCAGACTGCTGTCATTTCTAAGCCACTCGTCCGACAGCTGTTAAAATTATTCGAGTGACAGATCATTATATTGTTTACAAGCGTACAAAAGCATTTTGGTGAGAATTTTCCAGAAAAAAAGTTATTCGTGATTGAATTTAAACGTGATAGTGTGATTTCTTTATATTTGGCTGGAAAACCACAAGTGTCTATCGTTAGAGCACTCTAGCATTTAAATGTGAATAAATCTTCTGTGTCTCGTACCATCACTCGTTACCGTGATACTGGAAGCGTAGCCCGACGTCAAGGACGGAAGAGGGCGGAAGAAAACACCAACATCAGTAGAAATGGTACGAAAAGTAAAGAAGCGACTTGATCGAAACCCACGTCGCAGTGGCCGAAAAATAACTAGTGACCTGAACATATCGCAATATTCCATTCGGCAAATATTGAAAAATGGGCCCTTGAAATTCGAAAAAGTACAAGATCTTACACCGCAACAGAAAGAAAATAGACTCAAAAGAGCTAAAGAGTTGCTTCGCTTGGCGGAAAGTGGTAAACAGCCGAATTTGGTTGTCCAGCGGTTTGTAAACAAACAAAATGATCGTGTTTACTTGCCAAAGAGGTCAGCTGAAAATGTGCACCTTCCGGTCAAAATACCGCAGAGCAACATTCGGACAGCGTGTGACGGTTTCATTTGACCGTTTGAAGGCCATAATTCGTGCCAAGGGTGAGAAATTCGAACAAATCTAAACTTATTCTAAAATTTGATGCTGTTTCCGACATTTTTTGCTTTCATTCAATAAAATTTAAAAATTATGGCGTTTGACTTTGTTGCAGTTTTTTTATCTCACCCTGTATTTCTTGGTCAACATTGTAGAGAATGGCCATTCTCTTATATTTTACCGTTATCACTGAAAATTTTCAGGAACACAGCATGTGATGCAGCTAGAAAAATATGTATTGTAAACGAAATATAGATGGCGTTACTAGCTTCGTTCATATTTCATTTACGTGGCATCATCTAAAATTTAAAATTTTCACATTTCTGTTCTTTTCATATATTTTGATATGCATTAATATGTAATTATAAAAAATTTAAAATTCGAAGGGGTTCAATTTTTTTACATACAACCATAATTCTATTCTAATTCGTCTCCCTAATCAAGCGACCTTAATGATTTCTTCCAGAGCATATTAGCTTCCGAACGAAATGAAGTAAGTTGATAACATTTTGCTCAAATGTGTATTATGTGTGTAGGACTTTTGCCATTAAAAATAGGTCATGTAGGTCCACGTTTTTGTATAGGCTTCATATAATGGTACCTCCCTTTTTCCGTATTTTGGTGATTTAAGCGACATTATTCACCGGAAACGTGAAGTATTTGTAGTTCGTAATGGGTACTACGGCCTATGACATAAAATTGTCTGTGCACGTCCACGTCTTCGTATAGCCCCCATATAGCGGTACCCCCATTATTCCGTATTTTGATGATTTTAGCGACGTTATTCACCGGAATTGTTTCAAATTTGATATTTAAAGTTCGTAATGGGAACTACAGCCTATGGCATACAATTGTCTGTGAAGGTCCACGTCGTCGTATAGACCCTAATATAACAGATACATTCGGTATTTTAAAGATTTTAATAGAATTTTTAACGGATTTTATTGTTTTTTAGAATTCCCAATTTCGTCCCAAATGCTGGAGGATATTCAAATTTCGACCCGGCCGAACTTACAGCTTTTTTACTTGTTTTTTTTTTTCTATTTTTAAATCCCAACAGTCTGTAGTCAACAAGTGATTTTAGAAACATATATCGCTATTAGTTCTCTCAATGGTGAACAATGTTATTCAACGTATAGTTTTCCCTCAAGCTCGGTATAAACTCATTGAACATATTTCTAGTTTTATCACATAAGGACCCAGAAACGTATGTGGCTCACAAGTATTAATTTGACGTTTGACGCGGGTCAGGCGTTGTATCAGTTAGCTGCCACCTACATGATTTTATGTAGCCTAAAACATAAGATAAATTCACCTTAATGCCGCAAACACTTTCCAGACTAAAGGAGCCTTTCTGGGAGACTATTGAATCGAGCATATAAATTTCCTAAGATCTCAGCAAATCTATGTCTGCATCAGAAATAATTTTGAATAATTTAAAGTGTCTGTGAAAAAGCAACAAGTCCCACCAATGTCAGTGTACGTCCCTGGCCTCAGATCATACTCTTTATGGCTGTTTCCTTATGAAAAGAACATTATGCGTCGCGTTTCACCGTTGCTTGAGCACCTCGTCAGGTATATTTTAGTGTGGTTTTTTTCACAACCATTGCACAGTAATTCAACTATATATTTTTTTCATTAATTCCTACTAAAAGCTAATATTCTAGTGTTGAACATCAGTAGAGGAGAACATTATAAAACCCTTGCAAAGGCCTGCTACATAAAAAGTAGTATTTCAAATGGTAGTGGTCTCACTCAAATCATTACCGGAATACGGTTGTTTCAAAGAACTGGCAAAATGTGAAGATTATCCGTAATAGCCGAAGAATTTTAATATTTTTCAACAATTCAAAATTAAATTGTAAACTAGAAGAAAGCTGCTTTGTATTGAAAACGAAATGTTTTATGTGGACATTTTAGTAAATAAATAAAAATAACAGTGGAATATCTTGTCCTCCTTTTAAACATGTCTGTAATAGTCGGATTGCATATCTAAATTTTTTTTTACTTTGATTCCACCCAACGGCATTTTTAAATACTGGAGTCCAATTAAAATTTACACATCCTTTACACCGTTTGGTATGATTAAATTCTAGTGTACTGAAACATCGACCCACCCAAAATTCTGACTCAATGAAAAATGAACGCTAGCCATTTTCTAAAAAAAAAACTTAATTTCATAATCTTAAAACCTTCGGCAGTTCAATTTCAGATTACACTACTTTAAGCCAAGGGAGAAACTTAAATGGACATTCCACTACATATAAAAACAAAATCTATTTTAAATTCCGATGGATGGTAATTAAATTTAACCAAATTAAAAAATTATTTTCAAAAACGAAATCACAATCTAGATACAATTCGGATAGTTATTTATGTTGAAAGCTAATTTGTAGTTCACTGTTTTTCATTGCAAATTAGAATACCTCACAGCATTCAATTGTTATTGCAAAAAGCCGCTTAAAACATTATTGTTTGCAAATTATTCCTATCCATAACTTCTTTTGCACACACTAGATCAATAGTTTCAAAACTTGTTTGCAATTTAACCACGTTTTTAAAAATCCAAATCCATTTTAAATGATAACACATTTAGGTTTTCTTTTTTTACCTTTAAGTCATTTAATACAAAAAAATATGTAAAACATGTCTTAGGGAAATGTTAACGACACATTTACGCATCATCACCCTTGGTGGCACGTGTGTAAATGACTTGAGAGGCGTGTTGGACGACTTGTTTAATCAAACCTGCAACAAAACGGAAACATGAATTAGAAAAGGATTTCTAAAAATGATTTTGTTGATTTGTGAAACTTACCCTTCTCGCGCAATTCAATCAAAGCACGCTTGGCCAAGGAACCGCGGATCTTCAAACGTTCAGAGACTACAGAGGGAGTAATCAATTTGTACTGGGGAACTTCCTTGTACAACTTTTCGTAGGTAGCCTTATCGAAAAGAACTTGATTGTTCAACTTGTCCCTGACTTTTCCTTTGGACCACTTCTTCTTCTTGGCTTTGCCGCCACCGCTACCTTCCTTCTTCTTTTGTGTTTTTTGTGGCTGTTTAGCCGACGATTTTGCGTCCTTCTTTGGCGGCTATAAAAACGAGTAGAAAAAAAAAAAACAAAACGTTAATACACCAGCACACCACAATTTGTTTAATGAGGTTATGTTGAATTATTTTTCTTGTTTTCTTTTAGTTCTCACAGTGTTCTCATGTTTTTATTTTCACATTCACTATATGGTGTTACAATGTAACTGATATGTTCATTTTAATTATTTATTTTTTCACATAATTTCACTTTTTTTTTGTTTTTACGGGAATTTTTGGTCGAAAACATTGGCCGCACGACTTACCATCTTGAAAACCTCAAAGCAAAAAGATGGAGGACGGAAATTGTCAGTGCTACCACACACAAATATTTGACATATGGAAGTGTTCAGAAAAATACGGGTTGAAATGGTTTGCATTACTATTGGCCGTTAGAGGGAGCCTGTGTGGAATATAAATCTCAACGAAATGGTTTACACTAATGGCGTAGAGCGTATAATTTATGAAATTAATAAAAAATTGTTAAAATGTGGTCATTTTTAAGTCGGGTTTTTTTACAATTTAGTGTGTAAATTACTGT